TAGAATTTTCACTCCATGTCATCAGCGAGCTAAGTGGAAATTGCGTATGTTTCCAGACTAACCAACAGGGTCCCTGTAAGTCCACGCGATGGCAGCGAGTGTGTGTGTGTGTGTGTGTGTGTGTGTTGTGATGGTGAAGCTCAGTATTGTAAAGATGCTGATTCTTTTCTCCAAGTAATATGTATATAGATTTAATATTCTTCTGGTCAACTCCCGCCCCCACAAATTAATATTTGTGTGTTAGTGTGTGTGTGAAATGTTCTGAGAAAATCCTACAGAAGGGCGGAAGGGAAGAGGCAGAGAGAGAATTGCTTTATTCAAAATACTACAAAGCTACCGCAGATACGGCGGAGACACAGACAAATAGAAAAAGAGACCCATCTAAAGAGCTCAGAAATAGACCTGGAAAAAAAGGCGGCTGAGTCAATAAGCGCTATTGAGATCGTTGTCCATAAGAGGGGGAGAGCATCACACAACAAAACCCCACGCCTCTCGAACCCGCCAGGAAAACACATTCCAGATGGTCAAGCCCTTAACGTTTGCTCGCTGTAAAGGGGACAAGTAGGAGATACTGGGAAATCTCTCTGTCATTGCTGGATAAGAAAAGTCTTCTTGTTTAGGGGACTGTTTTTTTTTTTTTTTAAATAAACATTCCGAGAAGGAAAGAACAGATAAATAAATGTTCACCTGCACTGAGATTTTGTGTCAAAAACCATGCCATTGGATATCAAGCTACACTCCGAGGGAAAATAGTTGAGATTACGGTCCAGCATCTATAAAGAACCTCGAATTCAAGAGATAAAGAACAAACCCGGATCCAAGGACATGCACAGCCGTTTCAAGAAAGGAGCAGGGTTGAGCGTGCAGGTCAGGGTTCTGTAACCCTTCCACGGAATGCTTTTGCTCTGTTTGAAAAAGAACATCTGCATGTATTGATTGCTGAGTCGGGAAAAAAAATTGTAAGCTATTTAAGATATTTTAAAGAAGGAAAACAAAATACGATTGGTTAAAACAAAACAAAACAAAAGCAGATGGCAGGGTGGCAAATGATATCTGAGGGAAATATTAAAAAAGAGAGCTAACAGGTGGGACCAGATTAACACCTCAGTCGAAATACAATTCACGGCACGTACTCTGAGCAGGCAAAGATCATTATTGATAGGGACAGAAAGAGCTCGAAGAACCCAAAATGATCAAAACCCTTTCCCCACCTGCTAGAGGTGTCTTGAGCCCCCCTTTTTTTCTTAGCTCAGAAACTCCAGAGTCGTCTAGAACACAGAGCCTCCACTCCCATCGCACCCCCTCACTTGGAATTGAGGGACTGAGCCCCATTGTCTTAAGCTTCATGACAGGGGTGCAAGTATGGGGTGAGGGGTGTCAGCATGGGTTCACACAGAGAGGAGTCTCCCTAATCTTCCTCAGGAAAGCTCTCTTTTCTCAAGGCACTGGTTTGATTTCACCGCCCCCTCATTATCCGTTGCCCCTCTCATTTCCCCTCATTACTGAAGGTCCATTAGCTCCAGAACACCAATCACCAAAAGCCAATGCCCTTTTCAAACGATTCTGAAGAGGAAGCCAGGAAAGTCAGTTTACATACTATATACATTCGCAATTAAATTTGCAAACCGAAAGATCAAATTTATGAAGTTTTGCATCCTGCATGATCTAAGGAGCCCTGGTGATATAGTGGACTGCTCACCAAAAGGTCAGCAGTTCGAAACCACCTGCTGCTGCTTGGAAGAAAGATGGTGTCAGCCTCCGAAACTCCCGGGAGCAGTTCTCCTGCGCACGCGCCGGTCTCCTCGCCCAACTGCAGTCGGCTGGGTGTTACGCATTATTCTGTAGGACTCCGTTCTGATGGGACACCATTCACGATGGAGGAGATTTTAAACGTGTCCACAATTTGTAACTCGCTTTCAGTCCAAATCAGTCTCTGGGATAAACAGCCAGTCAATTCCAAGTTCAAATTCACATTCAGGGCTGACTCCTCCCAACGGCCGTCTTCCTTCACACCATGGTTCTGGCGAGGCGGGGAGCTGACATATAGCTTCGTGAAGGCAGATGAGGGGCAGCCTCAGGACGGTGTGCTCTTGTCTGGGGTCTCCCTCCTTTGCCAACCCTATGGCTCGTTGTGGGGTGGGGTGGGGTGGGTGTCTCTGGGATCCGATGCTCATACTCACCAAGTTGCAACAGATCTTGTCTTTGCAAGGGCTAACCTAGGGTCTTCAAAAAGTTCATGGCAAAGTGGAATTGCAAGATAATGAAAATTTCCCACGAACTTTTCAAAGACCCCCTCAGACATATTTGGGGGTGGAAAATGGACAGAACTTGCCACAGTTTCCTACTGAGCCTTTGATGACATCTTGGCCCACTAATCCCATTGGCCTGAAGTAGTTCCCTATCTTCAAATAGCCTCATGGCTGACCTTGAAGCATTTGGCTCCCATCTAGCATGGCAAACTACTGGCCAATTTTAAAAACATGAATACATTCCAAATGGGTGGGACAGAGATAAGGAGCACTGATACACCGTGGTCAAAGTGCTCGCCCACTAGTGAAAAGGCCGGTGGGTGCGACCTCCAACTGCTCCATGGGAGGGAGGCGTGACAGCCGGCGTCTGTGAAAACTGACAGCCTTATGAGCCCCATGGGACACAGCCACCCTGTCCTCTAGGGGCACGATGAGTTGGCTCCTAACGAACTAAACAGCCAAGGGTTTGGCCTGGGGGCCAGTGATTCCGTTCTTTGATTTTTCTCTACACTGTTCCAGGATCCTACCACCAGAGCATTTTCATATGTGTGACGACTTACCTTACCCTTCCGGTTTGAGGCACAAGATTTGGTAAGCTCCTTGGTTATCACAGACGTTGGCATCTGCGCTTTCTTTGAAACCGCACCTGCCCATCACTGCCTCAAACAGCAGGCAGCACTATCTTTCCACAGCCCACAGTCTCCTGGAAAAATAAAGAGCAGATGTGAGACAAGGGGTGGGACAAGGAAAGGGGAGAAAAACCCATCTTTCGTTCTTACAGAATTTCCAAGTCTTAACTTGTCAATGGTCTTTCCTTCCACTGGAGTCCCGGCAGGGCGGGCCAGGAACAGTTAAGCCCTTGACTCCTAACCAGCCAACGGTGGGTCCCATCCACCCAATGGCACTTTGGTAAAAAGGCTTGGTGAGCGGCTCCCGCAAGATCACAAAGCACCAAGACTGAAACCCTGTGGAACGCCGTTCTAGTCTCACACACACTGGGGTGGCCGCGGTTGGATCAACTCAACAGCTGGGTTTGGGTTTGGGTTTGTTTTGCTTTTGCCGACACCCAGTCACTGCTGGCTGGACCATTAGCTTCTCTTTTTAGAGGGGCCCTTGGGTACCATCATCTAGACTTGGACCTGGGGTTTATATCTTGGAAATCTTTCCTCTGGTGAAAATTCACACAGACAAAGATAGGCCGCGGCAGCCATCTCTGCACGTGCACATCCATGTCTGTGGCTGCCTGCCTCGAGCGGTGCTGCCATGCACCGCCGGGATCTGAAGCTCACAGCCCCCAAACTTCTCACCCAACCGTTCAAGCTACTCTTGTCAGTGGGGTCTCACCTGGGCAAGTCTTTGAAAAAGAAAACTGTTCCCAGTAGGTGCCCTTCCCAGATGAAGATCAGCTACGTTAGGGACCAAAGAAGACTTTTAATAAAACCCAAACTGACTGCCGTCCAGTAGATTCTGACTCAATTCTGAACTCATAGGGACCCTCTCCTGATCGGGTTTCCAAGACTGTAAATCAGCGGTTCTCAATCTGTGGGTCGCGACCCCCTTGGAGGTCTAACGACCCCTTCACAGAGGTTGCCCGGTTCATAACAGTAGAAAAATTACAGTGATGAAGTTATGGTTGGAGAATCACTACAACATGAGGAACAGTATGAAAGGGTCGCATCTTCCTCCCACAGAGCATCAGGCGTGTCTGAACTGCTGAGCTTGTACTTAGCGGCCCGACATGGTGCCACCAGCGCTCCTTAAAGACAACTTCTGGGGGTTGTTTTGGAGTGAGTTTTCAAGGTTTAAGGTTTTGTTTGTTTCCATTGTTGACTTACATCTGGTTCGTTGTGAAAAAGAGATCATGTACTTCTTGGTCTTTGATTCATCATTAAGGTTTGTGGGAAACAATTTCTCTTTAAAGTACGTTTCTTTAAGGATGCAGCAGAAAGCCAAGCCTCCTTGTTCAGGCCAATCAATGCCTGTGTAAGGTGAAAAGGAAGGGTGTTTCTGACAAGTCCAGGGAATTCTACCAATGAGGTTTGGGAATTTTACGGAGCTCCAGAGTCTGAACAGGCAGAGTGACAAAGGTCACAAAAACATGGGGCACCCATTCCCCCACCTGGGTCCATATGCAGAGGGACATTTGGACAACTGAGCCCCAAAGCCAACCAGGGCACCTCTGGGTGAGCGAGTTGCAGCATGTGGTAGGTAAAGCCGCTAGTGGGGATTGAACAAGCCACTTGCCGATGTTGGCTTGCTGCAGAGGACTCTGGTTGCCTTTACCTCATGCTCTGAGCAGGCAGCAGTGAAAGAAAATTCCTGGGTGGCGCAGATGCTTAAGCACCCAACAACTAACTGAAAGCATGGCCGTTCAGACACACCTTGGAAGATCTCGGGCTCATTCATTCACTGCCATCAAGTCAGTTCTGATTCATAGCAACCCTATAGGACAGGGTAGCACTGTCCCTGTGGGCGTCCGCGACTGTCACTCTCTAGGGGAGCAGGAAGCCTCACCATTCTCTCCTGGAGCAGCTGGTGGTTTTGAACTGCGAACCTTGCAGTTAGCCCAACTGGTAACCCACTATGCCACCCAGGACTAGTCCCCTGGAGAACACCCCTTCCCAAAGGGCACAGCCTATGGCTCATCTGCACGGTTGTCCTGAGCAGGGTCAGCAACAGCAATGAAGGTGACCGCAGATACTCAATGAAGTGAGGTTTCCTAGCACTCCTGGGAGAGACTGCAGTACCGACATGAGCACTTCCTGCTCCGTGCTGTCTCCACACACGGGAGCCCCAGTAGAGCTGGTGGGTGACCAGTTCGATGTCCTGGAGATGCAGATTTCTGAACAGGTTGACAAGACAGTGGGTCTCCTTCTTGGAAAAGAGTACCTTCGGGGGAAAGTCACATGGACCCAGACAGTGCAGTGCCCAAATATCAGAAAGGGTCCTAAGAGCTTGGGGGGGTGGCCAGTGCCTTTAAATGGGTTCTGGGCAAGCACAGCAGCAGCACAGCGCTGCTGGAAGATCTGAGAGAGGAGGAACCAAAGAGGAACGGGTCTTGTCGTACCAAGTCGTAGGGCTCCGGGGACTGAAAGCAGGGCTTCGGACAGGTTCGTTCCAGTCCGACTTAACATTTCCACCCCACATCACCCAGGAGATCTTGTGGCAATGTAGAGTCTGACTCCGTGCATCTGCAGTGGACAACATCTCAGTAAGAGGTTGAACTTGGAAGCCCTGGACTAAAGAAACCCTGGTTAAATCTGTGGACCGTGTGCTGCAGCGAGCACTGTGGGGTAGAGTGATTCTGACGATGAGTACAGTGGAGAGCAAGCACTGGCTATGCCATGCCATGCCAAGGGCAGCAAACATTCGCCCTGGATGTTCTCTGTGAGCCGAGTTAGAGACCTTGTACAGCAGTGGTATCTTCCTAAGAGGCCAGTCATCTGGAAGGAGCCCTGGTCACGCAGTGGTTACAGTACTCAACTAGAGCCCAACGCTCAGTTGCTCACGGGAGATCGATGTGGCCGTCTGTTTGTGTGGAGCCGTCGGCCTCTGAATCCCGCAGGGGCGTTTCTGCTTTGTCCTGTAGGGCCTCTGAGTCAGAACCGACCCAGCAACGGTGGCTTGGTGTTTGGATGGAGTCACATGTGACCATCTGGCACAGTTGCTGAATTTTCCTTGAAATCTACCAGGCCTCAGGCATTGCCGTGTCACTTGGGGGGTCCCAGCAAGAACCCTACGATATACTCAAGGTAGGTAAACAACCCCAAACCAAGCCACACTCCCTGTCATCGAGGATAGTGTTGAACTGTGCCAGAGGGTTTCTGAAGCAGAAAGTCTTTATGGGAGCAGACAGGCTCATCCTTCTCCCTAGGAGGGGCTGGTGGGCTAGAACTGCCAATCTTTAGGCTAGCAGTCCAATGCATAGCCCACTGCACCAGCAGGGCTTCTTTGGATAAACAGAGGAGAGGTTAATCAAGTCACCATTTTCAAAGGCATGGATAGTGGCCAACCAAGGGATCATTCAGTATTCTGGCTAGGAACTTAGGCTCCCCTGCCACTCGTAGACTTGAAGGACGGGGACAGGGTGTTGGCTACAAGAGCCCCAAGAGAGAGACAGCTGGTTGGAGAAGGTCACTGGCAGGTGCAAGGTCCTTCAGTTGAGGGATGGAAGCCAGCTTGTAGGAAGCCTGCCAGGAGAAAGGCAGGAAAGAAAAGTACCTAGCCTCCCTCACCTCCCTCGCAAGCTCTCCTGTTACTTGCTCACCACTGGCCAAAACTAGCTGGAAGCCAGAGAAGAGGAGCCTCTGTAGACTAGATCAGACATCTGGTGTTGACGAAGAACAGAACAAAGCAGGAGTACATCAAGAAGGGCATTTCCAGAGATCCAGCAACACATCACTGATACTGGAATCTTGAGAGAGGACTTGCCTTGGGGCTGTAAGGTCAGTGGTTTGAAACCACCAGTCACTCCTCAGGAGAAAGATGAGACTTTCTACTCCCTTAAAGATTTGCAGTCTTGGAAACCTACAGGGGCAGCTCACCTCTGTTCTACAGGGTGTCTATGAGTTGGAATGGACTCGGTGGCAGTGAGCGTGGTGTTGGTTTTGACCACAGAACAAAGCACTTTCCACTCACTCACACTGGGAGATCTAGACCACACATACAGGAAATCTAGGGTGCATTTCCTAAGAAGAGCAATAACTGCCAAGTGGTTATAATGGCCAACAGTTTCACCCTTGAAAAGCACTGGGTTTTCCCCATTTCTTGATTTTAATCCTCTTCTGTCTGTATTCCGCAGCAAAGGTAGCACGTCCTTTGTGGAGCACTGGGAAATGCAGATAAACCAATGGAAAGAACAAAGGCTCTTGTCATCTCCTATTCTCGAGATAACCACCAGCTTCTTTGAGGTGTCTCAATCCGACTTTACATGTGTGCTTATATTTCGTAGACACTTTATTGCCCTATAAATTTAGACGGACAGAAAAGTTGCAAGAAAAGTACACACACTTGTCATTAGCTTTCACAACGATCCTTCCATTGTTAACCATTTATCTCATCACACACACACACACACACACATGCATACATATTGACTTTTTCATGTGTTTCCTGAATCATCATAGAGTGATCAACCTCAGAACGTAAAAGGCAGGTTACACTCATAGCCCCTGAGTCACTATCTCCAACAATAATGGGCAATCTTCAAAAAGAAACGAGAGACTGAGTGATGGCAGACCTTAATCAAGAAGTTCCCACCAGCTCAGAATAAACTTAACTAGAGGACACGCCGATTCTCTGACTTTGTAAATGGCCCGGGTCTGAGGATAACCCACAGGCTGACTAAGCAAGAGCCTGCCTGACTGGGGCTCAGCCATCCTCATATTGGTGGGCAAGATGCTTTAATCTGGGCTATCCTGAAAGTTGCCAGATGTCCCTAGAAGGCTCAGGCAGAGACCCCAGAGGAGCTGCCTGGGTGGGCTAAGGCAAGTCCCTGGGCAGCTGGGCAAAGGTGGCTGTGCTGCAGAGATCGTGTGTTATTCCTCCCGTCAAATTTAGAGGGTCATGTATCATTTTGAGGATTCCTCGGGTGATACAAACAGTTGAGTTCCTCCACTGCAGACCGAAAGGTAGATGGTTCGAATACAACCAGGAGCACTGTGGAAGAAAGGCCTGGCAATCCACTCCCCTCCAAAAATCAACCCTGAGAACCTAATGGAGCACAGTTCTACTCTGACAGCCACGGGCTCACTCAGAGTCACATCCACTCAACGCCATTGGAAAAGCCCACTCCAGGTGTCCCGTCAGAAATGCTCGGCCAGGTAGACAGAGGGAATGTTTTGAAATGGGTCATTGCAGCCCGGGCATAAGCAGCCTCCCCCACAGAGGAAGCGAAGTATGAGATCAGGTCTCCTGGCACCTGTCAGGTACTGATGGCAGCCACAGCGTGTGTTGGGCCCAGGTGAAAGACTCTGTTCAGGTGTAGCACACACCCTGGAGTTTCCCCCTAAAACAGAGCCAGGTTTACCAGAGTGAGGCCAGTTTGTTCTCAAGGTGAATGTTGAGGTTATCCGATTGGCCAGGCTTTAAAATCCAAAGGTCAGGGCCTTCACGGCAGGTGAAAATGCTACAAGAATGACACTGAGCTGGGTCTCAGGAGGCGGAACCTGAGATCACGTGATCCCACCCAACACGGCATGGCCCACCTGAGCCCAGACTTGGCCTTGTTTAGTTTTTCATGAAAGAAATTGCATTGCATTCCTTATGAAGTGAGACCTCCACGTTTCAGCTAATTTAAGAGCCTGCCTCACACAAAGAGAAAGACTGGCTTTAAGACAGAGATGCTGTCACAGGATGGGTGTCCACAGGACTCCTGCACTTCAAGGGAGCCTGGCAGTAGGGATTCTTCACCACATGGCTCCAGGCCCTCCCTGTGCTTCGAGAGCAGGAGAGAAGAACGGACAGGGTGGTGTGGCGCGGGCTCACAAGAAAGACACTGCTGACTGCCTCCTCAGCCAGGTTATGGGAGAAAGAGGCTCAAAACCTCTGTTGGTCCGAGCATCGGCTGCACAGGTGAGTGAGACTGAAGGCAACCCGCAGGCTGGGGTTCCCACAGTGGGCAAAGACTCACACACATAAAAGAGTTTGGAGTTTGCCAGGCAGAGAGCTGCCCAAGATTGAGTGCTATCGGTGGGCACTGTGGAAACCACCCCTGTGCGCACACTGTGCCCAGAGACAATGATCCAAAGAGAACCTTCACCTCTCCACCCCAGAAGAAGGCTCCTGCCTTCGGTATCCCTCCTCCCGAGCATCGGAGGGACACGGCAGGGGAGAAGGCGACCAGCCATCGACGGCCCACTCCATGCCACCGGGAATGAGGGTAAATCAGGAGCCTGGGAGGGGCGTTAAACGTGTATGCCAGATTTAAGTTGTGAAGTGAACAGCGAGGAGTCTTAAGAACTGAAAATGACTGTGCTAATAGGTGAAAGCTCTGGAAGATTCTGGAATCGATAGCAAAGGCCGTTTCGAGAGAGAAGGAGATAATAGCACTCGCTCAGGGAGGGAAAAATCATTTTCCACCCAAGGAGTGGAGATTCTTCTCTAAGACATTAGACACCTACACATTTTATCTACTCTTCCCCCAAAGGCTCCCGCTTAAGACCAAGCAGTCACTACTGTCCCCTCCTGTTCTCAGTGGTGGAAGCCCTTGTGGCACACGGGGGTGACGTGCTGTTAAGCGAAAGGTCCTTGCTGGGAAGAAACCGGCCTCTCTGAGGGAGAAAGATGTAGCGCTCGGCCCCCACAAATATTCCAAGCCCAAACGCTACGTGGATTCTAACTGATAGCCACTCAAGAGGACGGAGAACGATCCCACGGAGTTTCTAAGGGTGTCACCAGCCTTCATGGAAGCAGACGACCCATCTTTCTCCAGGGGAGCAGCTGGTGATTCAAACAGCTGATCTTCCAAGGAGTTGCCCAGTCTTACTCCCCTTCTCTCATCAAGATTAACCCCCAAACCCAAACCCCTTGCCGCTGAGCCAATGACGACTCATCACCGACCCTGCATAGGGTTTCCCAGACTGCAAATCTCCATGGGAGCGGACAGCCTCAGTCTGTCCCGCAGAGCGGCTGGTAGGGAGGAGCCACCAACCGGGCAGTTAGCAGTTCAGCTCTTAAGGGACCGCACCTCCAGAGGATCTCACGGCTTGGAAAGCCTACAGATGTAGTTCCACTCCGTCCCCTAGGGTGGCTGTGGATCAGAATCCACTCAGTGACAGTGGGTTTTGTGGGGCTTTTTGGTTTGTGGCTGGGATGTAGTTTTAGCTTCTAGTGCAACTGGGACCATGGTAGATGTAGAAGCC